GAGGAGAAGAAGAAGAACACGGAAAGATGGCGAGGAGAAGGAGGAGGAGAAGAGGAGGAGGAGAAGAAGAAGAAAAAGGGGATATGAGGACGAGGAGAAGAGGAGGAGAAGAGGAGGAGAAGAAAAAAGGAGGAGAAGAGGACGAGGAGAAGAGGCGGGCACTAAACAGAGAGAGAGAGAGAGAGAGAGAGAGAGAGAGAGAGAGAGAGAGAGAGTTACCGCGCAATAACGTCGCCCTCCTGCCTCCTCGCCTAATGTCGATGGAACAACGACGGCGGGCATGAATGTCACACACACACACACACATAGAGAGAGAGAGAGAGAGAGGCGATGGCGGCCCGCGGAGAACCCTAGCGCGGGACGTCCGCAGGCTCCGATCGTTCGCACGTCCAGACGAGCTGGTCCCCCGCGGAGCCGGTCGTTCGTCACCGACGATCAACCGGCGACCGCACAGCACCGACCAGCGAGCAGCCAGGCACAGACCCGTCGACGGTGGGACCCGGTAGCGTTTCCACAATGCGCCCGCGCGCCGGAACGAAAACGGCCACAAAAACGTCCGGGAAAAAAAATAAAAAATAAAAAATAAATCGGAATGTCGAGTACCTTCCCCCCTGTTGGGAACCGTTTCCTAGCGTCTGCCGACCCCCGAAAACTTCGGGTACTGACCATCGAAGGACCGGTCATGAAGCACTTAGTAGTGAATTGAAGAAAAAAAAAGAAAAAAAAAAAGAACACCTTTTTGAAGAAAAAAGAAAGAAGAAGATACTAAACAACGGATCTTGCTAAGAGGGTGTGGAGGGTGCGGAATAGAAAAAGAAGAGGAAAAAAAAAGAAGAGAGAGAGAGAGAGAGAGAGAGAGAGAGAGAGAGAGAGACAGAGAGAGAGAGAGAGAGAGAATGACGACGCATTCTCTCACTCTTCCTCTTCCCCCCCCAGCTCGTTTGCTTATGTGGCAAGCGGAAATGAATCGTCATAGAAAGAAACGAGGTGGGGGGGAGGAGGGAGAGAGAGAACGCGCTGTTATTCTCTCTCTCTCTCTCTCTCTCTCTCTCTCTCTCTCTCCATCCAGTTGTTTCTTCCTCGAGATGATTCATTCCCATTTATCATCTAACGAGTGGGGGGGAGGGGGGGAGTTTTTTATTCTTTGTCAACAAGTATTTCTATTGTTATTATTATTATTATTTTTTTTTAATGCAAGGGAGTGCAGAAAAAGAGGGTGTACTAAATCGAGTTCACGGGAAAAAGCCTAGCGAAGAATGAAAAACGTGGAAAACGTACCGAGGGACAAGGGCTTGGACTCGGTTAGGGCACTCGGGGGAATGATGATACGAGGAGGTTATCTCTCTTACTATATATAGGATTCTAGGTACGTGACGTCGGCTAAATCCTTTCACCTTTCAGAATTCCTCCTGACATTGACTAGTTCCGCCGCCAGTCGAATCATGTCGAGGAGAATGCCGGAGGGAGGTAACTCGCGGTGACATTCTAATTTCTAAGCCACTACACTATTTCTGATTGGTTACGAATCCATCAGCGCTGTTGATGCCGAGGCGTTTGAGTCAGCAGTACTCAGATTGGCACTGCTGATGTCCAAGTGTTGAATTCTATGCTTGGATCTGTCTATGGTGTGTAGATGCGGTTCTGTTTGCGAACATCTCACAGTACTATCTGTACTTGTGGGCTCGGCTTGGCTCGGGTAACTGATCGCGGCAGGGCCGGGCCAGGCCTTCAGAAGTGGAGGGTGGTGGTGTAAACCACCCGTCGATCAAGGTTCTTCTGATTGTGTGCGGAAAGATTCATGCACAAACACTAATTCAGCACACTGCACTAGGTAATTTGCCGTATGACAAGGTTCGTCCGCTTCCGCTTCCGCTTCCGCTTCCGCTGGGGTCGCCCAGCCTTGGTGCTTGTCACTGCTCTCTGGTCCGCGTTGCCCTCAATATATTGGTAGGGTGATGGTCCTGACTCCTGAGTGCTGGTCACACTGAGGTAAGATAGTAGGGGTAGGGATAGGGGGTGCGCTGGGAGTATTAACAATGGGAAGGGTGAAAAAGGTGGCCTATCCTGTCAGGACAACCATCAGCTGCCACTGCTAGCAATCACCGTGGGTCTGGTCCTTGGGCTCTACAACACCCTAGGCTTGGGAAAAAAAACAAGAAAAACTGCGCTTGTGCTAGCGCCCTAATGCCGACCGACCGGTGAGGACCGGTCGTCCCGGCCTGACCAGAGTCCTGGGGATGTGAGCCTTCCAGGCCGCCGGGCCTGTGCATGCGCCCGACACGTGGCGGTGGCTGCTGTTTTGCCACGTGCCACCTGTCGTTTGGTGGCGTGGACGTCCCACGATGCGTGAACAGGGGAAAGCAACGGCCGTGTGATTGATTGGAGGTAGCACATAATAGTGGCACAGTTCTTTGGTCGAGCAATGGCTTTGGTGGAGAAGCTACAGCGTGGAGTGGAGGAGTGGTTGATTACCCTAGAGGAGGGATGTAGGCGGTTGGAGGTGATTGTGGGGGTGTTTCGCGGTGGCAGAAAGGGCCAGAGGACCAGAGGTCGAAGGGGGCGGCGATCTCTTTGGTTGAGTGGCTGGATGACACAACCCTGGACATGAAGGACATCATCTGGGAGCTGGAGGAGGGGCCGGATCCCAAGTTCAAATCCGTCATGCATTGGAGGCGAGCGTATGACATAATGGGAGCCTGCAAAGCCCTCTTCACTGAGGGTCGCAACCTCCGTAATCTGCTGGAG